AGGAAGACATAAATCGATATTCAGTACGTCCTGCACATTAGTAGGGGGTAGGGTCACTAGTTCAGCCCGCGCTATTAATTTACGAGCAGGGAAGGAAACTGGTATATTACTCATATTTATAAATTTTAAACACCCTTCGATGCAGATAATTCCTCCAGGTATAGCATAACATAATTTTCCTAATTGCATATAAACAGAATTTGTCAGGAAGTACAAATTGTCATTAGATTCTATATTCACCGTCACATCAATTAGGCTGACGCTTTGTGCTGGTAAAGTGACATCATATTTTAGGTACACATCAAATTTACAATTGAAGTCTAGATTTTCCAATTTAACGTACTTTAGGCAATCATCACCTACTAAAGTTTTTACAAACTTCGCAGAGTTAGAGGTAGTTACCAGACTTACCCCCGGTTGATTTATCATCGGTTGCCCAATAATTAAATCAATATCGGATAGTTCGTAATTAGTTATTTCCACGTAGCCACTTAGACATATTTTGTCTATATGCACAGTTATTTGCGACCTCCCCAACGATTTTATGCAAGTTCCCCCAAATCCTCTCATTACCGTGGTCGATGCCGCTATTGGTAATTTCAACAATTTTGCTTTATTTTGTGTTAAAATATTTAATTTACTACCCGTATCTATGTAGGCAACCAGTTTTTCTGCGCCGATGTACGTGTAACGCTTATATACATTGCATAACACATCACTAGTGGTAAACAAGATGTGACTCACCAGGGATGACGAACGTTGCTGCGTTGAACCAGGAGTCGCCACAAACCAACAGGTAGCCGAAGTGTGACCGTTGCGTTGACAGTTTTCACAACGTTGTTTTGAACGGCAGTCCTGAGCTACATGTCCTAACCGCCGGCAGATATAGCACCGTCTCACCCCAGTCTGTTGGTCAGTTGTAGAGCTTCCATCGGTTGTACCCCTTTTCCATATTGACTTCCGCATAGGTGTAGGTTCTATTCTCTTATAATTTTCAAATGATGATAAATACCCGTAGTATAATAACTGTGGCGTTCGACATTTGTACGCTTTTGCGTTTGCTTGCAGCTCCACGGGAAGACCTCGGATGATACAAGAGATTGCATTTTCTCCTACGATATTGCATTTCTTAATAAGTGATAATTTATCGTGGAAATAATTAGTCATGGTTTCGGAATCTTTTTTTTGTTCTTGCCAACATCTCTTCGAGCCTGCTGACGAAATCAATGGATCGTGGAAAGGCCATTTCCAAAGCATGTTTCCATCCTTCCCAGTCGAGGTTATAGTCATCTAAGTCATCATACCAACGTCGTGCTGAACCACGCAGACGAAGTTGCATTAAAAATTGTTTTTCGGTTCCATCCCATCCATATATTTCACCAAGCTGATCGATCTTGTGCAACCAACTGCTGACATTACTAGTATTATCTTCAGGTCGAAATTTAGGGATGATCTCAGCGTCGACATGACTCACTCGGCGTTTTTTTTTCGTAGCGGGCGCGTGGTCTTCTGAAGAAAAAAAATTTTGAGTTTCTTCGTTTTCTTCATTCTTCCGGGAACGTTTTCGGCAATATTTCCGTTTATTTTCACCAAGGCCGTGTATGTAGGGGCCCGACATCTTATATCCCAGAACAATTTTATTTTCGGTTTTTTCACGAATTATCCCACTTCTGAAATGTAACAGAGTGTGGTTGTCGATTTTCAAATAAAACTTTAATATCGTTTTAATCTAATATATAATTGACAGAGTTTCTGCTTAATGCAACTATGTAAATTACAATGAATCTAGTCGGCGTCATGCTTTTGTTTTTATACCCGCGTTATGCGGTTTACAATTATTCATAAACGGAAGTCGTTTAAAATCACCTACATTATTTATCACATCCGGAATCTAATTCTATACTGTAATTACAAACTTTTTATCGTACTTAAATATTTTAATATACTATAAATCGAATAATAATGCATTTATTTAATCAAGTAATTTTGATTAAGTTAAATTTATTAAATCAAGTGATGTTCAATGATAAGAGGTTTAAGAGTAAGTAAATTTATAATTATGGCTGAGGGCGGGAAACATTTGCTAACACTATATTATTCATTTTAAATCTTAACAAATCTATAAGAAGCTAATGCCATTGAAATAGTATCGTTACTTTTAAGCGGATAAACTTCAGCATACTTATTTAAATCACACTGTGAGTGTGTGAGTATATAAACATTACTAGCACTATGCTTACATAAGGACCCTACTAAATCTAAATAAACTCTATGAAAAGTGGAATATCCCATAAATCGGTTATAACCATTGGTTCCTTTATACAACATGTAACATAATTAACGCACTTTGAGAAAGTAGTTTGTTCAGAATCGTTTACTGAATCGATTCCTATCATTTTTAATATAGGTAATTTTTTATCCCAAAAATAATTAAAATTACGTAAATTACAGTCACACTAAATCTGCACAGTCAAAACAAACTGAAATGGACCGTAACTTAAGGCAATAAGACTTTTAAAAGTGCAGTTTTATTTGTATTATTACTAATTCTGTCTTTCAATAAAAATAAAGAAAAATGAACTTCATTTCAAGCACGTTAAAGTCTTTGCGTTCGTGGATTTGTACTGTGACAACAAAATTCTTCCGGAATTAGTATAACTAATTTGATAAATAATCAGTGCATAAAAATGTTTAACTAAAAATTCAGAGTATGTATTATGATTATAACATAATATACTAATTGGGGTGTCTGAGGGTGTGCGTTAATTACGTTACATATTGTATATTTATTTAAGTGTTTATATCGCAAACACTTGTCTCATCGTTTTACATAATTAGTAGGATGTTACTAATTATGTATATTATATAGTCTCTAACTCTTGTCAAAAGAACCTTTTCTTTGTATTATTTATCATTCGCCTATACGCGCGTGACCGTTAGTTAGCAAAAAATTATAGTCGTTTAATATTACATGTTTTGTCACACGGCGGTCCTAGTGCAACTGGCAGGTTCGCCATGTAATGTCGGGAGGTTCGGGGAATAAATAATGCGTCTACTGGTCTTGAATGTAGGTTTATTACTGACTGAATGTTTATTAGGCTATCATATGTATATATAGCTACATGAGCATACACTACACACACACTACAGTGCTTATGCGTTATATTACTAACTTCTGGGAGGTTTTTAGGGCAATTTAATCCAGCAGACAATCGATGGGGAGGATATCTTAAGTTCTTGACGCGCTTAAAAAGACAAAATAACTTGAGGTTGTGTGTATTGCATTTACCCATGTTGGAATTCACAACGTGCACAATGAGCAATGGTGGATTTGGTTTCAAAAACCCGCACAAAATAAAATTTTATTAGCGTGGATTTTTGATTGAAATGAAATAATCTGGAGGTAAAAATAAATGCACAAATTAATACAACTTACCGCGCACTACACTCCTGTATTACACTCAATTCTTAAACTCAATTCTTGGTTGAGTTGCTCCTTTTGTATTTTATGCAGTTCAGTCTGAGCTATTTGGGAATGATTAAAATGCGTCGAATTTTTTTTTGCATTTCGATAACAAGACTTTAATTTCTTCATAACAATGTTCGCACACACAGTTGCAACTGATGTACAGTGCAACTGACATCAGGTATGTCGCCCAGTTTCATTGCTCGTTTCGTATTAGATCCAGAGTCGCGTACAAAACAATGAAATTTCTCTTTTATGATGCCTGCCCCATTCCATCAATATACTCTTAATTTTTTCTAGAACTAGGTCTCCTGTATGTCTTCATAACATTTAGCCTTTTAAAATCTCTATTTATGCCATGCGCTGTCAGACTCAATAAAGACACATTCGAACTTGGTTCGGTCCAAATGTCTGTTGTAAATGAGATCTTTTCAAATTGTGTGAGCAAATCCTTAATTTATTTTGCTAAATTTTCATATAAATGACCACAAATATTTTCAGTAAAAAAACGTTTTTCTTCCCCTTAAGTGATAATTCGGCACAGTGAACTGCATAAGTCGCCGAAATCCTATACCTTCCACAAAATTGAAGGGTAGACCTTGCAACGCAATCATTTCAGAAATCAATTTGTCAATTTCCATAGATTTAGCATTAGAAGTGCACCATTTTGTATTCTTCAGCAATGTTTCTTTTAAAGTAATTTGTTTTTTAGCATCCTGAAGGGGCGTCGAAGTCAAACGCTGTACAGTATTTTTTTTTCAGTTTCTAACTTTATTAATTCTTCATATTCAGTGGCATGGACAGACTTCAAATGGCCTTTTAACGACGTTGTCGTACTTCCCTTTCTTGAATACGTCTTCATACACAGTTTACACTTTGCCGAATCTGAATTAACTTCAATGAAGTAGTTCCAAATACAACTTGATTTAGGTTTCATTGTCCAACACAAAAACAGATTACTTTTATTGATTGATATTTTTATTGAGCCGCAAAAATCAAAACAGATATCTATAACCTATGAACGTGTCGTGTGCGTAACAAATTAACAACTAGTGAAAAAATAATTGACGATAGAGTGCACGTAGTGGGAGTCGGGGGGATTCCCCGCGACGTGTATGGACCTGTTCATAACAGTCGACACAGGCCGCCGCCGCCGCTATGTTAAGCTTCGACCTCCGATTAAAACCTTTGACTTAAAAGTGTCGGAGCCGAAGTGGGAACCGAAGGTGTAATAATAATCGGAAGTTCCGACTTAACGGAACCGGAGTCGAAGCTTCGTAACTTCTCTGATCCTAATGAAAAGATAAAGTCCTAAAAATTTCGTTACAAGCTATCAAAAGTGCACTACTACACATAGACTTGCCCCTGAACATATATATATATATATATATATATATATATATAAAAAATATATAATATATAAAAAATATATATATATTCGTTCGTACGTCAAATATTTGTTTTGCATAAAATGTCAAATTTACAACTCTAAAAAAATAATTGTATTTATTAAAGTAATCAATATTTTACAAGTTCAATTTCTCCTACGAGTTCCTTTTCTTGACGCAGGTTTTTTGAAAACATTGTCGTCGGGTTTTTTCTGAAATTCATCGTCATCTGAAATATATATATTTATAATTATCTTAACACGAAATTTGCATGAAAATTATGTTAACAATTTTTAATGCTAATTCAGCATACCTGAGTCTTCTGAATCATTTGCGACAGTTTTGTTTCTCGGTACAATTTTCCTTCTCGATTTCCTGACTGATTGCGGTGTGTCAGATGGTTTATTTGGTGGTTCATTCTATAAAATTCAACTATCTATACAAATGTCTATATGAAATAAATATAATTTTTGACATATTAGAATCCGGCTTAAAATTAAAAAAAAATACATACTGTTCGGGCCTAGATAACATGGGTATGTTCCGAAACGTTTTCAGTATACTGCCGAATACAAATAACGTCATCAATTGACACTATATTGTACTGGAGTGCCGCCGCCGTATTGCGTCGAATATCCGGCCATAATAAAACAATTTTTAATTGTGTGTACGCTGAATGAAGCATGCCAGAATTTGTTTTTATTTATTCAAATACAAAAAATTATAGAATAATTGTTGGTATCTCCATTAGGAGGATATAATGATTTTTGGAGCACAAAATGACAAAATAATCGCCGACACTTTTCAAATATGGCGCAAATGTATGACGTCATATACTGTCCTATGTTTTGGAACGAATCACCAGTATAGCTTCGTTTCATGACGTCATTTGCATTGGACATTACACTGGGTTCTATTTTGGAGCATACCCATAATAGTATCGGTTTGCAAGAAGAGTGAGAGAAGCACAATAAGAGGAGGTAGCGAACCGCGGCGATTTCATAGGAACATTTTACCGAGCTTCAATTACGGACATTAGATTGGAGATCGTTACATAAGTCACATCGTACAACATCATTTTTCATACTTCATTGTTGTTATAAGTAGTAAAGTTAGGTTCATGCTGTAGCTACATTCGTATTATAGTTTACGTGGTTGAGCCATGTTACAGCTACATTAGTAGTATATAGCACGAATGTTTCGGCTCGACCTGTTCAACGCTGTTGTGCTTCATACGGTGAGTGAAGAGATCTGGAACCTTTTTACTGGAAACGTGGAATTCCATCTTAGTCCTCACGTACGACAACGCATCTGCATTTTAATTCGAAATCGAGGACAGATGTAAATGTGTTTGGGCCACAACCACTTACCATCAGGTGACCTTCATACAAATAATCCGATATTTTAACTGTTGTTAATTTTTATTTTTGGATAATAATATGGTCATAACTCTAAGTTATATTTTCCTTCACTAAAAAAAACGACGGGTTGCACACCGGGAGTGCCGGCAGAAGTGAAAACTTGAATATTAACGTTGTGCATTTTTGATATTTTGGAATGGTTAGGGAATAATTTTGCACGAATTGATTTAATTATCAGTATAAAAGTACTATCATTTATGTGGTAGAATACAATATTTATTTATTGCGCTATCGTACACAAACATGACAGTTTATATTACATTAAAAAGCTCTCCATCCGTCTGCCATTCCTGCAACGAATTGTGCCGAATTTGGAGTGTGCATTCGTTTGTCACCCGTACCCTATATAAAAAGTTATGTATACCTCATACCTCATCAGGGCTGGAAGATGAGCGCCTTCTTCCTCGCCTGGGCGCCTTCCGCGGCGTGGCACGCGGGGGCCTCGTGTCCGCGGCCTCGCTGCCCTCCCCTTTCTCCCCTTCTTCTCCGTCGCGCACCGCAAAACATTCTTCAATTTTGTCTCCTAGTTCTGTTACCAACGACTGTAAAAAGGTTTAGAAGAAATACATTTTAGATATAAATGTATAAAGTGATTACAAACTTCAGCATTATCTATTTTATTACATGATTTATATTTTTATGTAAGGACTTTATTATTATACCTTTATTTCATTTTTAGCCATTTTCGAAGTATTATTCATGAGAGTAGTAAACGACTCCATTACGCTGGAGCAGTGTAGCTTGTCCTTATAGCAATCCAAATTTTCTATGAGTTTCTTTAGCGATCGTTCGTTGTATGTAAATAACGACAAACAAAATGCCAGGTCTCGCCATTGCCTCTCCTCTGTAGACAGTTTAAATCGCTGACATAATTTCTCTACTAGTGCTTCCATCTGTCTATCTTTTTGTATCAGAGAGGTTATGTATCTGAAAATTTAAGTATATGTTTAAGTTTTTACAAAATCCAAAACGATATCCATAACTGTTGGCGATAAGTAGGGCTGTCGTTATAATTACTTCTAATTAACTGTTCGGTCGCTAATATATTATGCCTTGTAAATAATCATAGACACATAATTCATTGAAATATGACAAAACTACAACAATTTAGTTCATACGTTTGACTCATATTATCTTTGATACGTGTATGATCCTGTTTGAAAATTTGCTAATGAAAATATTCATATATAATAAATACTAGCTTGCCAGCTAGACGTTGTTCTGCCCTTTTCGACGACCCTTTGTCATGTTCTATTAAAAATCCTTAAATTAGCAAAAAAAATTATGGATCACTCATGGGCAATAAAAAAAACTATCCTATCTCTCAAGTTGGACCAAACTGCACACGGTGCGCAAATTTGATTAAAATCGGTTAAATACTTTAGGAGTTCATCGCGGACAAAATTAAAATTAAATTAAAATAACAAAATTGTGGAATCAATTTTGTTAACATATAATTGAATACGTGGTCATGTATTCGGAAATATGTTAAATAAAAATTCGTATATTTTACTCTCAATTCTATGAGTGAAATATCGTGAATCCCTTTTTCTAGACGCAGCACCGACCTACCCAATTCTTACCTAAATACGAGGGTGGATTGAAAAGTACTCGGCCTAACCAAGAAAATAAACACATACTAAATCAGTTATATTTTTATTTATCTACATAATCACCATCAAGTTCAATACACTTTTGCCACCTCCCCTTCCAAGCATTTAGACCGTTGAAAAAAAATGATTCTTCCTTAGAGTCAAAATATGCGTCTACAGCTGCTTTGACCTCGTCGCTTGTCGAAAATCTTTGACCTCCCAAATGCTTTTTTAGGTTAGGGAACAGAAAGAAGTCTGATGGTGCCAGATCAGGTGAATACGGCGGATGCGGTAACAGTTCAAAGCCACAATTGTGAATTTCAGCCATTGACTGTACTGACGTGTGAACACGGTCGTTATCTTGATGAAACAGGACTTTTCTTCTGAGCATTCCTCGACGTTTTTCTTTTATTTTCTCTCGTAAACGACGTAGTAAGGTGCAGTAGTAATCAGAGTTTATAGTCTGACCCCTTTCAAGATAATCAATCATAATCACACCTTTCGAGTCCCAGATTACTGAAGCCATCACCTTATTTGCCGACAAAATCGACTTGGCCTTTTTAGGGGGTGGTGAACCAGGTCTTCTCCACTGTTTTGATTGTTGTTTTGTTTCCGGTGTACAGTAATGAACCCATGTTTCGTCCATAGTAACAAAACGATTCAAAAAATCATCTGCATCGGCTCCAAATAACTCCAAACAGTCGCGTGAAATAGTCAATCGCGTCCTTTTTTTGTTCAACTGAAAGCAGTCGCGGAACCCACCTCGCAGACACCTTGTGGAAACCCAACTCGTTGACAATGATGTTTTGAGTTCGTTCATAAGAGATGCCTATAATCTCGGCTATCTCTAATTTTTAATCTGCGGTCTCCCATTAATAAATCAAGTACTTTTTTAATATTTTCGTCAGTAGTTGACGTCGAAGGCCTTCCAGAGCGGGGTTCATCTTTCACACTCTCTCTACCACGCTTAAATTCTGCTATCCATTTTTTGACGGATGAATATGACAGAGCACAATCGCCTAATGTACTGTCCATGTCATCATGGATGGCTTTTGATGATAGCCCCTTCTTATGGAGGTACTTAATGACGGCACGCTGCTCGATTTGCTCCATTCGCGGAAATTATGTCCGATTACTTTGTTAATAAATTTATAAAATCACAACTAATTATTGCACACGTTTCGAACTTCACACAATGAACTAGTCTGAACTGAAATAAATAATGTGGGTAGATTTGATTTTTAGAATTGAATGGATCTGTGTTAGGCCGAGTACTTTTCAATCCACCCTCGTACATCCTCTTACATTGCCATTATTATTAGATACTTTTGTTTCCTTTTTTACTCTATCAATAAAATATTATAGTGGCTGTATAAATAACTATATCGTTTCTATCTTGAATAAATATGAAGATTCTGTTATATATATATATATATATATATATATATATATATATATATATATATATATATATATATATATATATGTCTGATGGCTAGCACAGGCTATAATTATTTATTGACATCATATTTCTATGAAGAAAATATTGCGATATAGTAATAGAGGCTAAAACATAAAAAGTCTCGTTGAAACATAAATAGAATATAATCTAAGCAATAATATGAACAGAACACCTTACAAAATAAGTGCTTCAAGTTCTACTGTTAATTTATATATTAACTAAAATTTTAAAATTCATTTAGTTTTAGAAATGAAAACTTCATTCAAGACATTTATCAGTTGAGAAAATTTATGTCGGACTTAGTACTAAACATATTTTCGAATACTCATTAAATGTAGAAAGAAATTAATAAGAATGATTAATAATTACTAAAAATATGATGATATAACATTATATTTTAATAAACCAATATAGCTTACTTCATAATAACTCTATATTGCTCCTCAGGAACATTAAGCTCGGGGTCGCTCAGACGTGATATAATATCAGGCATCACATTGTATAATGCATTACCCTTCTGTGACAGTTGCTTGAAGAACAAGCGTGTCATGGCGGCCACGCGGGCATCTTTGTCCGCACAGCATAAAGCCATATCTGCTATTTGCCCTTTAACGCGAACCATCTCATGGAGTACGAGAAATGACAGCATTTTAACAGCGCACTGACGGACCTCTAGCTCCTCGTCGCTTAAACTGAAATATACTATAAGTTTTATATGTATAGACAGTTAATGTCGATAAGGCTTCGTAGACTATGAGAAAATAAATATGTAATTTTATTTTCTCCTATATCTCCCTTATAATGAAGTTTAATAATATTGGTAATGTAATATATATTTTCATTAAACAGATTATATTTCATAAAAAAATATAAAGTTATGGAAATTATCTACATAACGTCATCTGACGGAAATGTTTTTGATAGATACACTCGTAGACTGTAATGGTGGCCACACCCGGTCAGTTCAACTGATCATTCCAACTGATCAGTTCAAACTAAAACTGTTGATATTTTTAAAATAGCGGATTTTCGATATATCCATAATTAAACTTATATGTAAACCTTCGATATTAATATATTTATAATGATCGATATATCGAAAATCCACTATTTAAGAAATATTAACAGTTTTTGTTTGAACTGATCAGTTGAACTGACCGTGAGTAGCGTCCATAAGTATATGTTTATTTGATTCCAATTAACATGTAAAATATAAAAATTAGGATAGTGATGCAAATAAGGTAAAAAAGTAGCGTTGGTCTATATCGGTGTGTGATATTGACTGGCCCCTCCGGCTCACACGGCTCGATTTTTTTGAAATTACCCATGGTGAGTATAATATTATGTATCCATAGAAAATAAACAGTATTGTAGTTCCGCCATTCCATGCTAGATGCCGCTCACTTAATAAAATACGCACTATTGAGTTGTTGTACTAAAAATGACATAGTGTTGAGACTTTCAAATAAATGTATGTACCACTGAATACGCTGTTTACTTTGGTTACCATAGTGACAGCAAATATCAGTAACAGTCCTTCGGACTCACCCCCAACCTTGCCCCCACCTTTCCCACCACCCAAGCTCCCCCAACCTTGGGAAGGAACCTCGCCGCGAATCAGCGCAGTCGATAAGTACATCGTCGTGTGGTGTACAGCCCATAATAACCTCTTACGACACCCTCAGAACGAAAACGGAGTGTTGGATTACTTTACGCCACCACACACCGCAATGAATAATGGTTATTTATTCCAAGAATTTTATAACAAACATTTTGAATACTGTCTCAATTAATAAATAGTTAAGTGGTGAGAAAACTTACATGTGATAGATGTGATGCGTCCAAGGCTGCGTTAGATTTGGGAAGCGTAATGTGAGATCCGCAAAGGCGATTGTCAGATTTGTTCTCAGGGATACATTCTTAGACCTCTTTAATACTGTGACCATCAGCTGGAGACCTTCTTCGCATACAGTACTTGATACGAGCATAAACCTGTTGAAAAGTTTTCGTTCAGTTATTTACAGGTAGTATGGCTTCTATCGCCTAAGACTAGAAACTTTTTCTTTCATTAAATTGCAATGCATTTATTTTTTCTACAGAATGGGATGACAAACGAGCGCACAGCGCACCTGATGGTAAGTGGATGCTGTGGCCCATAAACATCTACATTTATCTTCGATTAAAAATCAAAATGCAGATGCGTTGTGACCCCTGAGGACTATGATGGAACGCTTCGTTTCCAGTAAAAAGGATCTCCGGTTCTCTACACTCACCATACGAAACACAGCAGCATTAAGTTGCTACTTTACGCAGGTATTCTGTGAGAGCGTGATCCTTCACCGGTCAAGCCGACCCATTCGTGCTACAACCAAAATATAGCTCTCTCTAACACCTACAGTACGCGACAGGTCGATGTGGCAATTTTCTAGTGATGTATCACATACCCTGGTAGTGTTAATATTGATATTTTATTTCATAAAGTTATTTAAATATTTTTGTAAAATTAGTAAAATTTTTTAAATAAAGTTTAGTACACAATCAATATCAAATGATCTCATATCACAAGCACTTAGTGACTCTCAATGGCGAAGCTAGGGCTCCAAACTAGGGCAAGCCCAAGATATAGTATATTTTGTTGTTTTTAGCAGTTTAATAAAAATACACCAATCTCGAGCTGTCTCCACTCTTTAGTTTCATATTCAGTGCTGTCAAGGACGTGTTTAACAAAGCACACAGAAAGCATACTACCGCTAGATAGATTGTATGACATATGCAATTGCATACCTTCGGTGGTTTTGAAAAGAGCCGTTTGGGTTTGCTTGATATATTTACAAACAATACAATACATGAACAAAAGAACATGAATAAAGTACAAAAAAACTATGTACAAAGTTAAAAAAGGGACGCCTGGCAAAACCTCGATTATTTGTAAGTTATACGCATAAAAGAACAGATTACGACAGGAATTAGATAGTTATAATGAGAAGATAAAGCTTCGCTAATTTTTTACCATAAAATAATGACTATTTATTATAAAATTATTCATTTTCAATTTATAATAAACCGTACAAAATGATATTTTTAAACTCATAAAGTAAAAAAAGTAAAGTTACAGCCTATATACGTCCCACTGCTGGGCTCAGGCCTCCCCTCATTTCTGAGAGGGTTTAGGGCAAGGAAGTGTCCGCCGCGCTGCCCAAATGCGTGTTGACGAACTTCACATGTCTTCGAAATATTTTTTTTTCTTATTCCTCAGACATGCAGGAAACCCTCACGATGTTTTCCTTCACCGCCGAGCACGTGGTAAATCAGCACTTAAAATTGAAATTAACAATTTCATTGGTGCCGGCGGGGATCGAACCCGGGTTACTCGCGTTCTGTTATATTTACAGCGAGCGTTAACCACTGAGCTACCAAAACTTAAACTCATATGGTAATATAAATATTAAATTAGCCGATAGCGTATTTGTGCCATCTAGCGTAATCTTTAGGTACCATCGTGAAAATCAACCAATTTTCTTTCGATAAAATGACTTTACCTTTAGAATTAAGTAAATGGCGCTATTAAAATTTTATATACTGGAAATAACTAAAGGGACTATTCTTTAAAAACCTCAATACAATCTTCTGTATTCTTTTGATTTATTACATTAAAATTTGGGCTTCACGTTAAAAAAAAGATTGTAACACTTATTTCCTATAAAATTAAACCTAGGTGTCTCATATTTTATGCTGCCGTTCAAAATGATATTTTTAATTCATATGGTAATATAGCAAATTGAGTTATTAAACCTTTGTATACGCCTAACTTAATTAAACTTTAATACTAAAGAGTCCTGTACCTATATTTAGAGTATGAAGAAATGTTTATTGAATATTAAATTTCATTTTAAAGATTTTACCTTTTCCTCGCCGATTAGCACTTCAACACACTTATATTCATAACAATGAACACTATTATCCTCCCATTTTCACTGAAAATCTTTGATAAAGCATAATTTTTTAACAAACACAACAAAAACAAACATAAACATTGAAATCTGAAGTGAACTTGCATACGAATGGCCCGCACCCCATTCGCTAGTCGCTAACGCACTCCTAAACAACTTCAGGGCAAAGCCAGGCTTGTGGCTCAATAGTAATTGCTATATAAACATTTCGTAGTTATATTTCATTAGAGAACATTTTGCCACAGGTTAGAAAGGAAGCGATCGTCTTCTCGAAAGTCCGGTAAAAAGCCAAGGAAGAAGGTGCGAGGGAGACAACGAATCGCTCAATTCAACTCTCCTTATATGTATGACAGTAGTATTCCCATTCATAAGGCTACGAGGTCGAACAGAGCGCGCGGGAAATTTGAAATAGTTTAAAACAGTTTACGAGTTATTTTATTACTTGATACTATTGATTGATTCAGCTTGATAAGGCAAGCCGGGCTTCTGGGCTTCTATAGAGGCTTCGCCACTGGTGACTCTTCGTCAGTAGTTTCTCCGGCTTCTATGATAAAATCTTCCTTTCCTATATCCTTTTACCAGTATTCATTCTCTAGTTTCTGAACATGTTTCCGAAATTTGCCCAGTTTTCTACCGTAAATTTCCATGCATTCGTTGTTACCTCTTTCATTTTTGTCAAACAAATCGCTCTATGTCGTGTTCTCTTACGAAGCGTTTAATGGCGGCTCAGGCTAACTCAATAGTATTTAAATCGCAAATATATGGAGACAATATAGCACCAACTATAGCACATTTTTTAACAGCCGTTGTAACATACGCTCGCACCCCAAGGAAAAGCTATTTTTTCGCGTAACGGAACGAGTAGCTTGGGACAAGTCGAAACCATTTTCTTACACCCTTCAATTCTGTTATAGTGTTATGAAGCACTGTACTTAATTATAATAATTGTTTTTCCATTCTATGTCACAATTTTTTAATACTTTTCTGACTAGTTCTGGTGCTTGAGAAGGAATTATTGGTTTTTTATAACACGTGACGAGCAAGCGTATTTTCCAAAGCGTCTTGACCAAAGTCTTTTTAATTACACAACAACAAAGAACAATGTGAGCGAGATCTAACTTGATAAACGCGGTCAATGCGGACTCGTGTAGCGCTAAGAATAATAGCAGGCGATGTGCGGGTATGTGGGGTGTCCCCTCCCCCGTGCCTCAGCTCATATCCTGATACTATGTCGATCCGTTGCGTACTACACAAAATGTAAAGAATATACTACTATATTCTAGTTATAAGTGTGTAGAGAATAGAGATTCATTCTATGTATTTTTATATATATATATATTATCAGTCTGTCAGGTATTCACTCAGTCTGCGAGCTGACAAATTATCTAATAGGCTTCTTAGTTCTGGGCTGTAGTCGCATGGCTTACTATTTGAAACCCTATTATATTTAAAAAAATTGACTACTAGAATTTATTGTCGTGTAATAAAGCTCTAGATTTGTAGAATGTTCATCACTCATACTAATAGACAACTTAAGTTTACCAATGTAACTAAAAAATATTATTTAGTATCCAACATTCTGGGTGGCCCACGCTATGCATTGTATCACTAAAGTAGGGCAACTATTAATACATTTCTCATTATTCTAACTACTTATAAAGCAGTAGTATTTAATGTTCAATCAATTGAAATTACTCTTAACTTGAAGAATTGGACAGTATCTAAATCTCATACCACTTCTAATTTGGTTTCAACTTTATTTAAGATCATTGCCTACTACTAAATAAATAGTTGTAACTGTGCGGTGTACTGTGTCGCGCACTGTATCTGGTGAAACAGAGCATCACAACGGCCTGCAGGCGCGCGGAGGTACACGCCGGGTTGGCCAGCAGCCAGCGCAGCAGCGGCGTGCAGCGCGGTGTACTGTACCTAGTGAAGCAGAGCGCCGCGGCGGCCTGCAGGCGCGCGGAGGTGCGCGCCGGGTTGGCCAGCAACCAGCGCAGTAGCGGCGTGTAGCGTGCGAGCGCGCTACCGGCCCCCACCACGTCGCGCTCGCACACCGAGCGCACGTACTCCGCGTCCGCGTCGTCCGCCACCGCACCCTCCAGACCCGCCTCTTCTTCGGTCATTGTCGTATTTGTCTAAAGGAACGTATAAGCCAATCCATACATTGTACTTAAATCACTACAAATAAACATGTTATTGGTGTCAGACGGTATTGTGAGGCAAGTATAGGCCTTGACTTTACGACTAGCCGCGAGTCGTAGTTCGACAGCTAAACATCCACACTATGTACAAATAACTGCGAAAACTGCGACACGATATTATGTCATAATTTCGAATCTTCCGTTTCACTACTGTCCGTTCGTTGCATTGGCACCTTATACTTCGTCCAAACATTTATTTTATTTTTGACAGCTCGAGTGCCGACTGTTAATAACAATCAACTTTATGATTTTTGACTGCCTCGTAGATCTAGTGGTTGTAAACGTGATTGTTGATCATGAGGTCCCGGGTTTGAATCCCGGGTCGGGCGATAAAAATACTAATTATTGATTTTTTTCTTTCAAGAAACCCGGAGTTAGTTATAATCACGTAAAGTAACATAAAAAATCACATAAAACTAAATTTACGGATTTTATCGTGTTTAATTAACTACTTTGTTATTTTTATTTTTAATTCCCGACGTTTCGGGTGCTTTACAGCACCCGTGGTCACGGGGGGAATTTTTCGTAGATCGGACCGAAAAATTAATATTAAAAAACTGAAGGTAGCCGGGCTAACTATGACATTGGGACGTCAAACATCTCAGTCCCCCCCCCCCCCCGTGACCATGGGTGCTGTAAAGCATCCGAAACGTCGGGAATTAAAAATAAAAATAAGTAGAAGTAGTGAATTAAACGCGATAAAATCCGTAAATTTAGTTTTATTCAATGTATAGTGTGCGCGTAAATTTAAGAAATTATTCCATGGTACAAGTTTTAATTGTAATTTCATGATACACAAGCTCGAGCTCCAAACGTTTTGAGTACATTATCAATAGGAACTTAACAGTGAAAACAAAAAAGTCGGCGTCATGTGAAGTCCGTCGATATGCATTAGATTATCGCGGCGGACTAGCTAATGCATACCCTCTTAGAAATGAAAGTGCTCAGGAGTCGGCTTAAAGTTTCAATTAACATATTTTTTTATAATGATTTCTTATACTCACGCAAACACTGTACATTGATTAAAACTAATTTTACGGGTTTTACCGCGTTCAATTTACTTAATTTTTAATTATTACGGGTGCAGGAAATCACCCGAAACGTCGGGAAACGTCGGGCAGCAGTTACTCGACTCCACCGAGTCAGTAATTCATTCTTGGGGCGATGTATACGCTTTTACAACAAAATCCCAGAAAATATACAAAATTTGTCACACGCAAAGTTCAAAAATTTTATTAAACTAAGTTTGTATAAAAAGGGTTATTATAATATTAAGGTGAAACCTACGGACTGTTCCCAGCCATTCTCCCGCAAGATGGCGCTGAAGTCAACATTTTTAGTTTATTTGGATTTTTGTGTAATTGGAAAATTATTAAGTCGTAGGAGTAGACTTTGCAGTTATCGGATATCACATTTTATTGGAATGGGTCATATCATTGCCTCAAAATCCACCCAATTCGACATAAATTTTGATTATAACATCTGTCATTGAATATAGTGTCGTTTACACACACAGACGTATCCCTACGTTTACGAAGATAGAACACTATAGTTCGGCCGTTCAGAGAATGCGTTCCTGACACCTATCAGTTAGTCACGACTAGTGATGGGCACAACATAACACCGAGTTCGTTACCGTTCCTCCAAAATGAACCGCCGCGTTATTTTTAAGATTATTTTTAAATTGGCGGAATCATTTAAAATTTATATTTTAGTAATTTAAGTGGAAACCAAAAAAAGGTAATATTAATATAATAAAATTGTTTTATTTATTCTTTGTTACAAAGTTACAATCTGTATTTCTATGCAATAAAGTACATTGAATTGAATGTGCGTACAGAATATTAATCAGACTCCGATTCGCTTGAGAAGGTGGTGTCTTCATCATCATCTTCGCCTACATGATAATTATATTATTATCAATAACAGAATCAATCCTGATATCTCGGTCAAAATGTTCCACAATCAGGTTTTTAGTCTTCTCAACAACCTTTGCCCAGTCATCTCTTGTGACTTCCCCGCAGGCTTCTTTTAATAGGTCATCATCTTTTTCGTGCTGAATGTCGGGGAAGTATTGTGGCGGGCGACGTAACCTTTTATTTGAGCCCAGATTAGCTCAATCGCGTTATATTGGCAATGATACGGTGGAATTCTTAGAACGCGATGACCGTACTCCAGAGCCAGTTCCATCGATTTCGTATCGCACATTTGCCGCTTAGTGGCCGTGTAGTGGCGGTTGAGAATATCCACTACCCCATATCTTCCCGTGGGTGTCGTAAGAGGCGACAGAGGGAGACAGGCAGGAGATGGGCAGCAGCATCTTCCTGATAACATTGATATAATAAAAAATTGCGGTTGCCAACCCGCTCGCCAAGCGTGGCAACTATGGCAAATATCCCCCCATGAGTAACGACGCAAACAAACGGCCCTCAGTCCCCGGCAGTCCCGCTATTCCTGGCTACGGTGGCGACCATGGTCACGGCGTGGCAGGGGGTGCTAAGAATCTCCGATGGAGGTTCGGTTGCCACCTACGACCTGGCAACATATAACGCACGCACCCTGAGGACTGACGATACTGGAGTGGAGAAGATACTGGAGTTGGTAGAAGAGGTAGACAAGTTGCGCTGGCATATTATTGGATTATCCGAGGTCCGAAGAGAGGGGGAGGACACGGTAATCCTCGAGTCCGGCAACTTGTTCTATCACCGGGAGGGCGACCATCTGTCCCAAGGAGGTGTCGGATTTATCGTCCACAAGTCTCTCGTCAACAACGTTGTAAAGATTGGGAGTGTGTCGACGAGGGTCGCGTACCTGATACTCAGAATCACCAAACGGTATTCGCTGAAGGTATTACAGGTTTACGCACCAACCTCGGCACATCCCGATGAGGAGGTGGAGGAAATGTATGAGGATATTTCTAGAGCCATGCATTCCTCCAAAACCCACTACACGGTGTTGATGGGAGACTTCAACGCAAAACTAGGCACAAGAGAAAGCGGTGAGCTGAAGTTAGGGAAATTTGGAGCAGGGCAACGGAACCGTAGGGGCCAGCAGCTGGCCGACTTCATGGAGAAAGAGGGACTCTTTATGATGAACTCTTTCTTCCAGAAGCGGCCCCACAGGAAGTGGACCTGGTCGAGCCCCGACGGTTCGACAAAAAATGAGATTGACTTCATTATGACGACCAAACGCCAACTGTTCAGTGACGTCTCAGTGATCGCAAGGGTGAAAACTGGCAGCGATCACCGAATGGTTAGAGGCACACTCGTCTCGTCTAATGAAGTCAACGCTCCGTCCCCCTCGTGCTCTAATGCAGAATCCCGAAACCTTTCAGCTCGAGTTACGTAACCGATTTCAGTGCCTAGAAGATTGCAATGCAGTGGACGATATTAATGACAAGCTCGTGGAAACTGTCCATGCGGTCGGAGCTAAGTTCTGCAAGACCGGCCGCAGAACACAAAAGCTCTCCGATCACACTCTTAATCTCATGGCTGCTAGACGGGAGATAAGGCTGCAATCGTCAACAGATTTGACAGCATACAGGCAACTGAACAGACAGATCTCCAAATGCATGCGGCGAGACTTACGCAAATTTAATACTGCTCGTATTGAAGAAGCGATTGAGCGGAACCAGGGCTCCAAACTCTTTGCCAGAGATCTGTCTGCCAGTAAGAGCCAACTGTCAAAGCTGAAGACTGAGTGTGGCAGCATCGTTTCCGGGACACCTGAGATTCTGAGTGAGATTGAGAGGTTCTATGGGCAGCTGTACACATCATTGTTAGAGCCACACGCAAGTGTGAGTAACGATCCAAGAGCGGGTCTTATCAGACACTATTCCGATGATATCCCAGACGTCAGTCTGAGCGAGATTAGAATGGCTCTCCAACACCTTAAAAACGGCAAGTCCCCGGGCGAAGATGGAATTACAGCGGAGCTTCTGAAAGCGGGTGGAAAACCGGTACTTGAAGTCCTTCAGAGGCTCTTTAATTCCGTCCTCCATGGTGGCACTACTCCGGAGGCGTGGAGCAGAAGTGCGGTGGTCTTGTTCTTCAAGGAAGGTGACAACGCCCTCTTGAAGAACTACAGACCGATATCCCTTCTGAGCCGCGTCTACGTGCTGTTTTCGAGAGTCATTACGAATCGTCTCGCACGCAGACTCGACGACTTCCAGCCTCCCGAACAAGCCGGTTTCCGAAAAGGCTTTAGTACCATAGACCACATACATACCCTTCGGCAGATTGTACAGAAGTCCGGAGAGTACAATCTGCTACTTTGCCTGGTGTATGTGGACTATGAGAAAGCCTTTGATTCCGTCGAAGTTTGGGCGGTGCTACAGTCTCTTCAGCGGTGCCAAGTTGATTGTCGGTATATAGAAGTGCTGAAGTGTTTGTACAGTAGGGCTACGATGGCTATCCGAGTACAGAACCAGAGTACGAAACCTATCCAACTGCAGAGAGGTGTAAGACAGGGTGACGTTATTTCCCCGAAACTCTTCACCGCTGCATTGGAAGACGTTTTCGTATTACGTAGTACATTGACGATACGGTATTAACATCAATGGCGAGTACATCACTCACCTTCGATTTGCCGACTATATAGTCCTTATGGCAGAATCGCTGGAGGACTTAAGCACTATGCTCAATGACCTCAATTATGCCTCCCAACGGATAGGTCTTAAGATGAACATGGACAAAACAAAGATAATGTTTAATGTCCATGTCACACCTATGCCGGTAGTTGTTGGGAGAACTAAGCTCGAAGTTGTTGACGAGTACGTTTACCTGGGACAAATAGTCCGGCTAGGTAAGTCCAACTTCGATTCTTCAATCGACGGATTCAACTCGGCTGGGCAGCGTTCGGGAAATTACGACACATCTTCTCGTCAGGTATACCTGAAAACCTGAAAACTAAGTTGTACAACCAGTGCGTGTTGC